GTAGAACACAGTGGGATTTACTTCTGAGTATGTATGAATATTTAGGACACTTAACGTCTTACTTTCAGAGAGCAGAGTAATAAATGGGATTTAAATGTGTCCTAAGCTGCAATTCTATGTATATTTATCTGGGAGTAAACTCACTAAAGACAGTGTATTTTACATTGGAGTAAATATTAATTAACATACACATTTAAATTTCATTGGATTATGCCCCATGTTAGAAAGTATTTTCCTAATAATTGGTTGCATTAAATATGCACAAATATCAACCTAATTGCTAAGGTTTGCATCTTAGAAGAAGAGTATAATATCTCTAATCACACAATATTGAATCTACATGAGATTCGTATCCTTGGTATTAGAAGACATGCTCAGTTAAGACTTATATTGAGCAGCAGAAGAAATTAATAATTTGTAAATTATGTTAAACATAATTTCACCTCTTCCTTTCAGGAACCCTCCGGTACAAAGAGACTGGAACTTAACCTACAATAAGGCCCACAGCTATTTTTATTTAAAAGACAAAATAAGTTGTTTCAAAAGCAAAGAAAACTGAACAAGAGCCACAACGGTTTTTTTAAAAAGCCATTAACCAGTTACACTAAGTAGAAAGCTAGACTGATAATATACCATTTTTAGGCATTTAAGTATTTACAACAGTAGACAACATAATGGTAAAAAGTATTTAATGCACTAGTTAATCTATGCCCTGAGTAAAATTAGCATTATGAGTTAGAAATCACAGGGAAGAGTCCATTTTCACTGACTTTACTATGTAATAAAAGCATTAACTGACCACATGTGGTCATTTCCTTCTTTTGACAATAGCAGAGTGCTCAGTTTATCGAAATGGAAAAATGAAGTCTAGGCACTAAAAATTTTTGACTTAGAAAACTATTTGAAACAAATGTTTCCTAAGATATTAGATAGGCTTCCTACAGTTCTCGCTTTTTGAACCCCAAGGATGAGGTTCTGCATCAGAGGTGTCAAACTGCCGGCCCGCGGGCCGGACATGTCATCGGGAAACCACGCCCACCCCATTGCTGGCAATGGCGAAAAAGCTCCGATACGCTGCGCGATGTCATGTGACGTCGCAAGTGTGACATGTCTGTACTACATAAAAAGAAGCTCACCTGAAGAGATGGCCTTATCCCTGTTTTTGGGAGGTAGTCAAGTGTTACCCATAAGAGACAACTTTCCTCATTGTACCACCATACTTTTTAAAGAAGGAAATAACTTAGGACACAACAAATTAAACACAGTAAGAGAGAAAAATGTCTCATTAATGTGTACTGGCTTTGTTCTTTAACAAAAGCTGCCTCAAAACAATTTAGAGTACTGGATTCCCCAGCTTTTTATCAAAAAATGTTTCAAATCCAACAAAAACTCTATCATTTGAGGGAATGTATCTTGGTATTTCTCAAGCTTGGCAACTTTAAAAAAAGGAGGAATTCTGGGAGTTGAAGTCCACCCCTTTAAAGTCGCCAAGCCTAAGAAACACTGGTCTAGGTGTTCATATCCATTTTTCACTTGAAACACCTTGTACAATTAAAAGGTGACAGTCTAAGTCAGGGGTAGGCAACCTCAGCTCTTTTATGACTCATGGACTTCAACTCCCAGAATTCCATGAGTTGAAGTCCATGAATCATAAAAGAGCCGAGGTTGCCTACCCCTGGTCTAAGTTCTGTCATTCAAATAAAATTGTAAAATTGTAAATTATATCCATAATAACTAGGAATGGAAGTAAAATACTTTTTTTTTTTGCTTGATGTTATCCAAAAATGCTACTATTTTCAATGGAAACCACCGAGCAACTTTCCAAATCAGGCTATATAGATTTAACTGTACAGCCAGTCATTTCCTAATACTGGCAGACAAATTTATTTTCTTAGAAGAGTTACAAACTTCATTATTATGCAAATAATATTCCAGGTAAGACAAAGTGATGTAATGAACTAAAGGTTTAAAGCAGATAAGGTATAAGGCAAATTAATGTTGAATATGTAACTATATTTTTCTGATGTTTTCTACATAGAGCTAACAATACATCTCATAATAACTTAAGTAGATTGCTTCTTCTTTAACTCTTTCACTAAAACAAAACTGTATTTAAAAACAACGTATATACACTCTGTGTTTTAATAAGCAGGGGAAAACAGATCAACCATTGCTGCAAACATACAGCTCAAAATCAATGGCTTCTGTTGGTGTTGGCTACATTCATACCGACCTTATTAAAAGGATAAGCATCATTTTCTGCCTGTGATGAACATTAATATAAATAAGGGGGGGGAACCCAATAATGTAACTATCAAGAAAGCTTTTGAAATAGTCAAACCATTCAATTAAACTTTTATTTATTAAGAAAGCAGATTTATCCCTACTGAGAAAAACAGGTAGTCCCCGATTTACAACAATTGAGCCCAAAATTTCTGTTGCTAAGTGAGACAATATTTAAGTGAGTTTTGCACCATTTTATGATCTTTGTTTCCAAAGTTGCTAATTGAATCACTGCAGTTGTTAAGTTATTAACAAAGTTAAGTGAGGCTGGCTTCCCCATTGACTGTGCTTGTCTGAAGGTGGCAAAAGGTGATCACATGACCCTGGGGACACTGCAACCATCATAAATACATGCCACTTGCCAAGAGTCTGAATTTTGATCATGCGACCAAAGGGCTGTTGCAACAGTCTCAAAATGTGAAAAATGGTCATAGGTCACTTTTTTCAGTGCCATTGTAACTTTGAATGGTCACTGAACGAATCTTTGTAAGTCGAGAACTACCTGCACTCATGGAAGGCGTTCTGCTTAACAATATAGAGTTAAAAATAAAAGTATGTTTAGCAGATGGTTAGTATGATGGAAACAGTATCAAAACAGGGCTGAAACTGGAAAAAAATGATATAAAGTCTAGTAGAAGTTTAACTATCTCAATGGTATCTGGGGTACAACTGTCATCCCGAAGAGACTAGCAATTATATCTGGGAGTACAACTGTCAGAGATGAAGAAGAGACTAATTAATTCACAAATATATCAGAGATGAAGAGTTAATTTCTAGATCAATTCACAAATAATGATGTACTCAATGGTTGCTTGCTTATGTTGATCTCCTAATTTAGTATTTTAAAGCAGCAGTCCCTAACTTTTCCAGCTCTGCAGACTAGCAGCTGTGCAGTGGGGGGAGGGGATGGTTTCACAAGTGTGCTTGCCACTTGCACAAATGGCGCTTCGCATGCTCGCCTGCTGCTTGTGCGGCCTGCTTCCCAAAGGGCCACAGCCCAGTGCTGGACCAAGGATCGGGAGTTGGGGACCCCTGTTTTAAAGGAGTTTTAATTTTTGAAGTACCCCATGATATCCATAAACATCTGCAGTTTACATTTAACAAAAAGATAGCATAGGCTCTTATTAATTATATAAGGAAAAATAAAAATGTAGCTGTTCAAATGTGATGCAATCTAACAAACAGCAAACGAGCAGTCAGTTACAAGTGAGCAAAATAGCCTAATGAGTGGAAAAGGGACTGGTTAAACTGTGTGTATCCCAACATCAGTCATGGGGGGGGGAGGAAGGTGTTAACCTTTAAATATGTAGGTGTGAATGGGGCAGATTACTTGTTTAGAGTGCTACTGAACTCAGACTACTTGTAATTAGTTAAGACTACTGCTTTGCCTTTGCCAGCAATGTCCATGACATGATAGGAGTGAATATGGAACAGCTCAACTTTTTCCTTTCTTTAGTTCATTCTAAGCCGAATTTAAATTACTCAGCTAACGTAACTAGTTTGTTGGTTTATTTGCAGGTGAACACAATTTAGGATGTAGGATGAATAAAATAATGAATCCTGTAGAATCCTCCTAGCAAAGGCACGTTGTGCCTCATTTTCAGAGCCTCTAATCAGTACATTTTTAACTAAGATTGCATTGTTAACAATTCCCGAATTCCTAAGAACACCTATGGACTATATTCTGTGATGCTTATAGTGTGCTTGTATTAATACAATTAACAAATTTTATGAAGAAACACTTGGTATTGGATAAGGTGGTCAGGTGTTTTCTCACTGGTGTCATGGTTGAGTTATTAGGTCTCAGTATTTTGACTTCTGACATGCTAAGTGCTTAATATATTGCTATTTAGTAGTGCAGAGCTCTGCTAGGTGCCTTTAATGTATGGTAATAATCACTAGCGCCCAGAGGCATAGTTAAATATACGTGATTCTTGTACGCAATTTTTCCCATTCTGAGACTTCAAAGGAACTAGTCAAATTAGTGTTCACAAATGGATTCTGAATTAATCCAACTACAGAGGTTTTCATCTATACTCTAAATAAATACCATCTATAGCATTTAGAGATGCCTGTTATGTTTCTGTGTGGATTTGTATTTCTAGACAATCCTACATTTCAGAAATATGCTGGCTATGCTCATATATTTAACTTCCAGTTTGCTTGCAACAGGCCCTTAATATTATGCAGTTAGGACTCTAAAAAGGCAGGTTTTTGTTTGTTCTTCCATTTCTGATGGAATTGTTCATCTGTTATTTCTCTGAATCTTAAAACTATACATTTTTTCAGTCATTCTGCTAATATTTCTGTAAACCCTTCAAACAAACCCTTTTATTTTGCAAGCTATAAGCAAAGGTTAAAATACAGAAATACTCTGTAATTTAATTCCAGATTTGAAATTTGGTTTTATTGCGTATACCAGGGGTGTCAAAACTGCTGGCCCATGGGCCAGATGCATCACGCAGAAGCCGCACCCATCCCAGCTCTGGCAGGGGGAAAAAAGTCACGATACATCGCGACACGTCAAGTGACACAGCGAGTTTGACACCCCTGGCACATAAAATCCCTAATGCTTTCCCTGGGAGATACAAATTTAAAGACAGAATTTGACCTTATTCTATAACAAAAGGGCAGCAAATTGAATAGCTACAGTTGCCTCTATGTAACTGCAGCAAATCTAACTTGAATTTCAGAGTTAAAAAAAAAAAAAGCAAAAATGGATTTCAAGTTGTATTTCGTTAGTTTCTTTGATAGCCTTCATAAACTCAATCCAGCTCAAGCACAGAAGAAATTGTCTGCCCCATCATGAACAATCTGCTTAGTCTTACCTCCACATTTTCTTCTTTCCTGTCCGCATTTACGTGAATAACCTGAGGAAAACTCAAAAAAGCAAATTGAGCACTGTACTTCCACAAGCGATTTAAATGGGTCTTGCAAAGGAGCCATACATGGTCCTGTTGCAATAAAAGGAAGATGAATGAGTCCCAGTGCATGGTAGATTGTCCATTAAGTGAAGTATCATTACAAAGATAACATCCATGGTCAGCATATTGTCTATCATACCCAGTACCTATCATGTACATCATCACATACAATAAAAATCCAAGTATGAAACGCTTTATATGTTTTGGGAAAGGAAAATCTGCATGTGCCAAGAAAATTGCAGGCAGGGATAAGATTAGATAGAATTTTGTTCCTTGGTCATCTTCTTGTATTTCCATATCTTGCAACCATCAAATTCATGAAAGCCTCCAAATTCACAAAAGCCAGAGAAAACCTAAACACCAGTGTTCTTATATTGAATGATTAGTTTTAGTTTGGTAGACTTTTTTTTTTTTACATAACTATCCAATTTCATATAACCATATCCCACTTTCACTATAATAATAATAAAAGTCATAGGATTGTAAGATTATCGGAGCAATTCAAATATGAAATAAAAAGAAGTCAGAAGAACAGTGATGCAATGCAATTATAAAATGAAGACTTGTACTCAAAACCATTTTGACATTGCCATGCTGAATGATTTTCCATGGTTTTCACCGACCAATGACTTTGATTAGGTGTATTTATTATGGACGAGGTATTTTTCAGAATGAAATCATTGTTCACCAGTAGATCTACCTTTCTATTTTTCTATTACTCCAGTTATATTAGTTACTTTAAAATTTGCACTTAATTTATATTAACACTAAGCAGTTCCTTTTTAGGTGGGGCTATCCTACAAAGATCCATAAAAATTAACACAAAGTGTTTTTTAAAAATATAAATAGAATTAAACCCAATGTCAATAAATGAAGTTTAGCAGTGACAGGAATAACAGAAGGGTGAAAAGTGCCAGGGGTCCTAAGTACACCTGTCTGTAAAGAAGATATTGCACTAAACAAAGACCCTAAAGAGTTTTAAAAGATCTTCACTGACTTAGAAAAGAAACTAGCCATTTTCTGTACGAACTTGCAAACCTTGCCTGATCTGCCTCCCTACACGTTGACAAAACGTGATCGATGAACTTATATTCTTCTTCCACGTTGATACAGTCCTGCATAGGAGCACGCTTCAGGCGTTTGGTTTCTTGACTATAGCTTTGTTTGTTGCATTCAGTTAAACCGTCAACATCCATGGCTTGTGTGGTATGGCCAGTTGTAACATGAGGATGTGAATTATTAACTGTTCCATCCTTAATGTTTGAAGTGGATGACCAGATGCTTGGAACTGGACACTTCTTTAAGTGGTTTTGAAGGTAGAAGACTTGGCGTCTTTAAAGAACAAAAAACATATGGAAATCAAACTTAGTTTGAAGGACTAAGCTCCAACTTAACATAACCTACATTTTGTAAATAATGTCTGAGTACAATAGCTAACACTCTGTGAATTCCCTGAGAAAGCAATAAAACAATATTTGTATCATTTTGTCCATCTGTCAGCAGAATTTACCTTGCTGACAGATCATATTCTCATTACTACTGTATTCTTCATACATCCTCAACAAACTTGTTCTAGAGCAGCGGTTCTCAATCTGTGGGTTGCGACCCTTTTGGGGGTCGAACAACCCTTTCACAGGGATCGCCTAAGATCATCAGAAAACACATATTTCTGATGGTCTTAGGAACCGAGACACCTCCTCCACCATTTGCAGAGAGAGGGAGAGAGAGAGAGGCACTTTCGCTTCCCTTCTCTCTCTCTCTCAGGTGGACTTACCCCCTGCAGGGCTCCTGATTGGCCCTGTGCCTGGGTGCCCCACCCCCTGGGAGAAGCACGGCCAGGGCCTCGTGGCCTTGGAACCGCCCGGGAAAGCCCTGGGATCCCTGCTGGGAGCGGCCCGCTGGAGGCTCCGTGAGCGGGCCAGCCCTCTCGCAAGCCGTAGCCCAAAGGAGACCATCCCCTGCGATCCCCAGCCAGCCCGGACCATTGGACCCGCTGCCCAGGAAGGCGTGCCAGAATCCAGGCTGCCGGGAAGGAAGAAGGAGATTCAGCAAAGGTAGGAGAGGAGAGCCGCCTCCTGGGGCCCAGCGCTGGCAGCGGCTTCCTTGCCATCCTCTTCCTCCTCCCCTTTCTCTTGCTGCCCCCCAGGCGGCTCGGGCTGGCGCCGGGGCAAGAGGGGTGCCGGGGGGGGAGCAGCTGGGCTGGCAGAGGGGCTGGCGGGCCACATGGCACCAGACCCCACCGCGGCTCCATCAGATGGGCGGAGGGTGAGGCCGGGCAGCACGGAGTCCCAGTTGGGGTGGCGGCAGCGGTTTTCTCACCCTTCTCCTCTCCTTCCTCCTGCTGCCCCCAAGGCGGCTCAGGCTGGCACCGGGGCAAAAGGGGTGCCTGGGGGGAGCAGCCGGGCTGGCAGAGGGGCTGGCAGGGGCGGCGGCCAGGCTGGGGGCAGTGGGGACCCCCAATGATGAACAGTGGCCGCCGCTGCTGGAGCCACTGCCTCCCGCCCTGCTCCCCCTCCCCGCCCGCTCGGCTGAGGACGCAGCAGAGGCCGGGCTTGGGGCGGCGGGGAGCCCCAATGATGCTGCCATAAGAGAGGAAAGAGAAAGAAACAGAGGAAAAGAGAGAGGAAAGAGAGAAAGAGAAAGGGAGGAAACAGAGAAAGAGAGGAAAGAGAGAAAAAAAGAGGAAAGAGAGAGAGAAAGAAACGGGGAGAGGAAAGAGAAAAAGAAGAGGGAAAGAGAGAGGAAAGAGGGATCGAGAGAGAAAGAGAAGAGAGATAGAGGAAAGAGAAAGAGAGGAAAGAGAGAAACAGGAAAGAGAAAGAGAGAAACAGGAAAAGAGGAAAGAGAAAAACGGGAGAGGAAAGAGAAAAAAGGGAAAGAGAGGAAAGAGAGAGAAAGAGAAGAGAGAGGAAAGAGAGAAAGAGGAAAGAGAGAAACAGGAAAAGAGGAAAGAGAGAAAGAGGGAGAAAAGAGAAAGAGAAAGAGGAAAGAGAGGAAAGAGAAAGAGAGGAAAGACAGAAAGAGAGGAGAGAGAGAGAGAAAGAGGGAGAGAAATGGCGCTTCTCCAACCAGCCTGGGCAGAACCGGCGGAGCGGCCTTCCTGCCCCCCTCCCCTGCCAGCTGGATGGGGGGTTGGGGATCACCACAACATGAGGAACTGTATTAAAGGGTCACGGCATTAGGAAGGTTGAGAACCACTGTTCTAGAGGCTTGGGAATTTAGAGGAGGAATACAACTTATCACAAGATACCAGAAAGGAAAACCTGGCTTGGAAAAAAAGTGCATCCGATTTGAAGGGGTAACTGTCATTTTCAATCCTTTATTATTTAAATTTCCTTACCTGTGATACCATAACGTTTCATGCCCTGGGTAAGTGTCAATTAAATCAGTGCAGAGCCCTATTTCCTCTTTCAGATACAGCGAATGATCTGGCTGTTGCTTTTCCATGCAAAAAGCTTCTGCACCTTCATCTGCCTCATCTTTTGGAAAACAAGATGTTTGTTGATTGGTTGGATGATCACATAACTTTATAATACAATCAGTCCCAGTTCTGACAATCAAAGATTTTAATAAAAACTGACGGTAGTGGAATCCACTATGGTCTGAAACATGCATGGAAACCCAGCGTTTAGTGGAAGAAAGTTCATCGAGAAGAATCTGAGAATTAAAAACATAATAAAATGAAGCATTCAGCATAAACACTAATCAGCTTTCACCTTCAAATTATCTTTTATGACAATGTATTCTAAACTATTGCAAGGAGTCTAAGATACACACCAAACATGGAAAAAAACCCACATCCAAATTAAAAACAAAAGCAAAATTTACACAGATGCTAACCCAAACATATTTAATTATTCGGGAAAGGTGAGCAATGAGAAATCTGAATTAGCCTAGGAGGAAGGAAAAGCACTAAATGATGTGGATTAGTTTCTACTTCTTCCTAACCACTGCTGGTATATCAATTTCTCCTGGCATAGGTAAAACATACTATTTTCCCACCGCCACGTTCCTTTATCACAACTGGCAATGATGTCTAGAAGTTGCACATACATGCACCCAATCCTTAACCAGTACTACTTCCATTTATACTGTGTGCACAATTATTAGGCAAATTGCATTTTGGAGGAATCATTTTCTTATTGAACAACTACAGTGCTCTTGGTCAATCCGAAATGTTAATAAACCTCAAACCTGAATATAAAATAAAAGTAAGGTTTCGGCTTTCTTAGGAAAATATCTATGTGTGCATAACTATTGGACAGCTATTAGTGTACAGAATTAATATGCAACTAAACAAAAAATGAAAATTTGCCCATCTCACTCATTTGCACCTGTTAAAGTGAGAATAATAAACAAACAACTCAAAATGTAAAAATAACATTTCCGACATTTCACACACAAAAAATGAGTAACCAGTATAGTCACCCTTCTTTTCAATAACAGTCATAAGCCTTCCATTCACGGACTCTGTCAGTTTCTTGATCTGTTGACCGTCAACATTTTGTGCAGCGACAACCACAGCTTCCCAGACACTGTTCAGAGAGGTGTACTGTTTTCCTTCACCATAAATCTCCCACAAGTTCTCAATAGGGTTTAGGTCTGGTGAGGAAGGGGGCCATGTCATTATTCATTCATCTTTAAGGCCTTTACTGGCTAACCGTGCATTGGAGTACTTCAGTGCATGCAATGAAACATTGTCCTGCATAAAAATCATGGTCTTCTTGAAAGATGCAGACTTTTTCCTGTACCACTGCTTGAAGAAAGTGTCTTCTAAAAACTGGCAGTAGGTTTGGGAGTTGATTTTGAGTCCATCTTCAACCTGAAAAGGTCCAACTAGCTCATCTTTAATAATACCAGCCCATACCAATACCCCACCTCCACCTTGCTGGCATCTGAGTTCGAAGTGGAGTTCTGTGCTGGTTACTGATCCAGCCATGGGCCCATCCATCTGGTCTGTCAAGAATCACTCTCATCTCATCAGTCCATAAATCTCTGAAAAATCTGTCTTCAGATATTTCTTGGCCCAGTCTTGCTGTTCCAATTTATGGGTCTTGTTTAGTGGTGGTTGGGTTTCAGCCTTCTTTTCCTTGGCCATGTCTCTGAACACCTTGTACTTCTGGGCACTCCAGGTAGGTTACAGTTCTGGAATATGACAGTACTGAAGGATAATGGGTTCCTGATAGCTTCACGTTTGATTGTTCTCAAATCTTTGGCAGTTAATGTGCATCTTTTTTTCTCAACACATTTCTTGCCATTCTGTTCGCAACAAAATGTTTGAGGGTTCACACCTCAATATCTTAGCACTTTCAAGAGTGCTGCATCTTTTTGAAAGACTTTTTACAATTTTTGACTTTTCAGAGTCAATTAAATCTCTTTTTGGCCCATTTGCCTGAGAAAAAAAAAGTTGCCTAATAATTATGCACACCTTTATATGGGTACATATAGGCCACACTCTCCCTCATTACACAAATACACATCACCTGATATGCTTATATCCAATAAACATTCAAGTTTATACAGCTTGAAGGTAGAAAGTATGCATAAAAATGATGATATGGTCAAAATACTCACTTGCCTAATAATTGTGCACACAGTTTATGTCCCTACTATACTTGATCTAGAACATAGGTACCAAACTCACCATGTCACGTGACATGTCACAACGTATCGTGACATTTTTTGCATTGTGCGGTCTCTGTATGATGCAACTGGCTCGTAGGCCGGCAGTTTGACACCCCTGATCTAGAACTATCTACCCGCCCCATCAGGGCCACCAGTTATGGCCCACTTACACTTTTGTTATTACATGAAATGCAACATCTGCCCATTCCAGGTCCTTAGAAAGGACTCCTTAGGTGACAAAAATGTTAAATCCCAGTCTAAACATCTGGCTGACTATGCGACCAACCATACTAAATATAGTAAGAATATTTTCCTTTTAGATTTTAAGATGGATATGACAGGATTCCAACGGATTCACAGAATTCACTTTAGAGGACGCTCTGGATATTTCTCAAAAGGGTAGAACCAGCTGTTTTGTAACAGGCATTTCTGTTTTTGTTAATAACATATTTTGAAAATTTTGTGAGCAAGATTCCAGTTGTTTAATGTCATGTTAATCCATCACATCAACTTAAGTTTAGATAATCTGAAAGGTACTCATAAATTGAACTATGGTGTTTCTAAAGTGTATCATCTATTTGAAATTATACTGATATATAATTTGCATTTTTACAATGCACTGTTTTGACATATGCTTTCCCCTCTACTTTTTGTACCTTTGAGTCAATGTTGACTCCTGGTGAATGCCTGGACTAGTCCCTGCAGTTTTCTTGGCAAGATTTTTGGAAGTGGCTTGAGAAAGAATAGCAGCCCAAGGTCACCCAGTTGGCTTTGTGCCTTAAGGTGGGACTAGAACCCATGGTCTTTTGGTTTCTAACCTGGTGATTTAACCATCATATTGGCTCTCATATTTAAATTTAAGATCTTAGATTGTAGAAATGAAAAGAAATGGCATTTAAATATCTGCTGAACAAAATGTAGTAACAGTAAGGATACTCTCATTTCGAGATGGGCTCCTAGTTACTTCTTTGACAAATCTATGCCATTTTGTGACATAGAGGGGGGCAACATTACAAAAGTAATTTCTTCCAGAATGTTTTTCAACTTCTCAATTTATCTTAAAGCTTTGGAATTCCCCAACGCAGTGGTTCTCAACCTATGGTCCGTGGACTCCTGGGGAACCGTGATGTGATCACATGGGGTCCACAAAGACTTAAAGAAATGTTATGATTTAAATCTTGAATTAAGTCTTGGGGGTCCGTGGCCATAGTTTGTGGCCATAAAAAGTATTTAAACGGGATCCATGGTGAAGGCAAGGTTGAGAACCATGAATTCTAGGACTAAGCAGGCTTGCTTAACTTCCAAGCTCAAACAAGAACGGTGAAGCCCTGCCATCATCCCATGTTTATTTTCATAGAAGCCTTCATTTTCACCCTATTTTGCTTTTCTACTGATTTCTGTCAAAAGAGGTTAGAACTCAGCTAACCTTCAGCTTTAATCTATTTTTTTGCATGAATTAGATCAATTCTTTTTATTATTTTCTTACCACCCCAAACACTTGCTAGTCATACTTAATTGAATTCAGCGCAAATATTTTCAAAAAATGTGCCATCAAACACATGTAGAACTTCTATTGCACCCATACCTTTGTATTGAGCTTTGCCAAATTCTGTAACACCCAGATACGATGGGACCAGGCATTATAGTTACTTGGATATCGTCCAGCAGCGTCACAACAAACATCCATTTCTTCTTTCACCAGCCGCTGTATTTTTTCCGTGGGTAATGCTTCTAAGTTCCCTTTAGTCACAAGAGCGGGCAAGGAGTTTTCCTGAATTAAATGTTGCAGAACCCATCGTCTGGTTATGCAGAATTAAAAGTGCAAGAGCCAATTTAATGAAAACATTTTTATTCATTATGTCATTAAATTAGTTCTTAATACAGCATATAAAGATATTTATATTCTGCCCAGGGTCACTATGAGTGAGTCAGCCGGCCATATAAATATTCTTAATAAATAACAAAAATATTTGAAAAGAAGTTCAATTACACTGTAAAATATTATCTATGATAATGAAATTTTTTGGTTAATAGTTCCAACCAATAAACTCCTGTTTTATGGCAATACGTCCTTTAAAAACTGATATTCAAATAAGTTCTGAATACTGACCATACACCTATTCAATCCCAAGCTTAGAATATCATGATTTGAACAAGCCACATACAGATGCATAAACTCCTTTGTTTCAAATTATTTCATATGCAGAGCAAATATTTAAAACTATATACACAAAATGCTGGATTGTTCCTGGTTCAGTGTGATGGTTAGTTATGGCTTCCTGATTTATTTTATTGCTCGTTTAAAGGACTAACAAAGGAGTTGTTAACAAAGGTTAACAATTCTTGTATATAACAGAAGTAAAACAAATCTAAATCTCTAACCTAAGGTATATTTTTCATCTTTTTTTCCACAATATTAAACTAATGTAAACTTACTATTTCCTTATAATTTCCTGCTTTGACTTCTTTCTCCTACTTTAAAATTCAGAATTTGTTTTTGATAACAGCTATGATTACAAGATTAATTGGGTAGCTGCAAACAATTCAGAAATATGTACGCACTGGAAATATGTATATGTGCATGCACATGTGCACACACAAACACACATGCAAATACTCTACAGCAAAGACCTGCCTAATGCTTTCCTTTTTTCTCAGATGACATCTGTCACTCAGAGAGATAACATAAATGTGTATTTCAGTATAAAGAAGTAAAACCACACACCTATGAATCCATGTTTCTGGACTTTTTGGAAACTTGGTTAGTGCCAATTTCCCCAGATGCAAGTCTTTAATGGGATTTAAAGTGCCAGACAGTATTAATTCTTTTCTGAAACAAAAATAAAAGACATAGCTATTAAAGGTAATTTGCAGAGCACTTTCTACTTAATAAAATTAATGATACCATTACCCTCTGCATATCTATTTAAACATTAATAAAAAGCATCAGATTTATAATATTAGAACTGCACAACTATGTGCCTGGCCTGAAAAGTCATTACAGTATCAGATGAAGAAGATGGCCAGGAGGATGTATCATCACAAGCAGATACTGTGGTGCCAAGCCATCAGCCAGGATCACTGTACCGTCGCTTGGGCTCAGCAGATATTGACCCAGAAGAGGAGTCCCCTCCATACAAGAATGTGGCAATTGTGCGTTTCTAAAGTTGTGTATTTCTAACTATTGAATATACACACACACACACATGGCAGATTTCAAAATGAAAATTGCAATTAATATGCAAGCAATGCTTCATAACAATATGCAGGCACTCCTTAACTTTATAACCACATTTTCTGTTGTTAAGTGAGATAAGTATGTGAGTTTTGCACTGTTTTATGACCATTCTTGCCACAGTTGTTAAGTGAATTATTTCAGCTGTCAAGTTAGTAACACAATTGTTAAGTGAATCCAGCTTCTCCCATTGACTTTGCTCATCAGATCACAAAAGATGATCCCACGTCCCCACAAAGTTGACCCCATGACCCCATTTTCAGTCCATGGCCATGCCCCCTCCTCAGCATTGCTAATTGTCCCCCAGAGAGTTTTATGTTTCTGTCCTTCCTCTTTAATGGAGAAAGATAATACGTTAACCAACAGCTTTCCTATAAGAACCCTAATCAGTAGAAGAGTAGGATATCGGCCTTAGATTCCTTTGGAATGGGATTAACATTTTAAAAGAGGTACATCCTGGACAAAACCCTCAGTAAAGGATGTGGCAGGGAGTGATGTCTCTTATTGTGTGCTACTGGCATTATTTTTACTATTCAGGACACTATGATGCAAGCGTTATTTGCATCCTCCATCTTCAAGAAGCATAAGTGGGTTCAAATGTGAAATCATTTGCTGTTGCAATATTAAACTATGCCATCTGCCATAAGGCTGTAAAAAGAGACTCTTTACTTTTGCACAAAAATCAGACCAAACACCCTGTTAAATCCAAGTAGGTAACACAATCCTCCCAAAAGCAACGCACATTTAGCACAGACCAGGGCTTTTCAACCTTTTCACAGACTGTACCACTTTTAGGACATGACAATATTTTGAATACCACCAGTGCTTAGCAAGGCGTCAAAAACTTGATGACTAAAAAAAAAAAAAAAGGGGGGGGGGATTTTGGACTTTACTGGTTAGATTCATTTGTTGTTATAGAAATGGCTAGTTTATAATATTATGGAAAAGTAAAAAGTTGAGGTTCAATGTTAATGCTTCCTTCTACTGCAACAGAGGAAGTCAGAAGTCAATGCCTTTTCTTTTTCCCTTCTCCCCCTCACTTTTACTTTTTTCTCTCACCCTTTGCTCACAAAAGCCCCTCTCTCGCTCTCACTCACTCACACTTTGCTCGCAAAGGCTCCTCTCGCTCTTTCACTCATTCACACTTTGCTCGCAAAGGCCACTCGCTCTCTCTCATCACTTCACTAACAAAAGCCTCTTCTCTCTCTTTCTCCGTGTGCTTTTATTCCTCTCCCTAGATACATGCTCCTTTTATGGCTTCTCCTCTCTCCGCCCTTCTCCTCCTTTTCTCTTCCGGGTGTACCGGAAGCTCCAATCAGCATGTAGCCGCATGCGCAGATCCCAGGGCTTCCGCAAAGCCTTGCAGCTCTGGCTGATCTCCTCCAGGCCTGTGTGGCGCCGCTTTAGCTCATTCCCTCCCCCGCTACACTTGTCTATGGGTCGCGTACCATCTGCCAGGTGCTAAAGTACCACCAGTGGTATGCATACCACCAGTTAAAAAGCCCTGGCATAGACAACCAAATGTTTCCTATAGTTCTCTTTTACCCAGGTGATATTACAGATGGTGTGGTATTACAATTCATTGAAAAAAGCTATGAAGTTACAATACAAGAGAAGACAGATTTGGTGATACCTACTGTATAGCAAGACAACATCGACGCTAGATATGACCAAATGGAATAAATTAAATTAATGGAAACCTCTTCCACTGAATTTTCAGTGCTTTTCTTAGTGATAGCTATTCTCCTAATTAGAGCTACTTCAGATATCACTATTTTCTAAACTCTTCCATGTATTAAAATGTAGAAATGAATGAATCTGGCTGCATGGCATTCATGCAATACATTAGCAAGAGGGTGCATCTGCGCCTGACAACTGGCAGGGCTGTCATATAACCTGCTAAGTGCATTCAGAACATAGAATTCAATTTCTGATGTGTATTTATGCAATTCTTCAGCTAGTTGAAGACTTCATATTAAATAATTCAGGCCTTATACGAATAACATTAATCATTATTTGCAAATTATTTAAAAACTGGCACACCAAAATTACGAAACTAAAATTAAACTAAGATGTAAAAATGACATTTTTACAAAATATTCTATCAATCTACTTCAGTAGAACATGAAACTGAAGTATGATTTATAATATGGAAGTTTTGATTATTTCCCCCATTTCTCAGTAAAAATGATTATTCCTTAAAACACTTGTATTAGTCATAATTAGCATACAAAAATAAAATTTAATACAGCAAGAAGTGAATGTTAATAACCTCTTGGGAGGTGAATGGAAAGTGCAGGATCTGCCTTCACAGTGGTGATCAGAATTTGAAGTGGGAGATTACAGATCATACCTGAAGACTTAGTGAGAAAGCATGTATTTAATCCATCATTGAGTTATTTTATTACAAGCAGCAAAAGCCAGTGTTGCAGGATTCAAATTCAATCTTTTCATTCATTTAATTATCGTGTTCTGCCTTCATGCCCGTGTTCATCTTTCACTGGGCAGCTTATTCAGCATCTCCTCCCAACCTTTAATATATCTCTATAAAAAACTCAAGAATAATTTAGAAGTGCAGAGTTCTGAGATATTTCAAAACATGGCCTAATGCAGAGGTCCCAACCTTTCTGGGCTTACAGCCCGGAGGGAAGGAGAGCATGTTTCAAATTGGTGTGCATGCATGCGCGCACACAAATGACACCACACACAGTGGTGCAGCACTAGCGTCCCCATTTGCGCATGCCTAAGCAGGCTGCGCACACCCGCCTGGCGCTAGCAGCCCCATTCGCGCATGTGCAAACAGGCCACGTGTACCTGCCTGGCGCTAGCGACCCCCTTTGCACCTGTGTGCATGTGCAAACGGGCTGTGGGCAGTAGCACAAGTGGTGGGGAGTGCATGTGCACATATGCGTGCACTGGCCAGCCATTGTTGTGGCCCGCTGGACTCTCCCAAAATATATTTGAAAGGATAAATGTTAGGGACTTATGCTGGAGATTTAAAATATTTTAGGTTAGCTACTTGGCTGCTGCTTTTTGTACTATCTATAGTTTCCAATGTCATTTTCAACAGTTCCATGTAGAACATGCTAATGATAATCTAATCTTGTGGTCATAAAGACAAAAATCACAGACCCCATGGCATCCTGGTCAAAAAAGGGGAACCACCAGCACACTAGCCTTAGCTGGACCAAGGCTTCCCAGCTTCAACCTGCTATTGTAGCAGACATGAGTCCAAGAGAACCTGCTCCTGCAGAGGGAGTGCAATCCCAATATAAGCACCATTTCAGAACCAAAATATTTTTGAAGAAACAATAACTCCAATTTTGCTAGGATTAAGCCTGAGCTTGTTTCTACTTATTGAGACTTTTAGCACTAGGTTTATATCTTGCAATATATATCTAAATTTTACCCACCCCCCCGTTTCTAAAAAAGATGGGTGTTTATAAATTTGTATACACATGAGAACAAGGAGGCAGCATTTGGAAGTGACTCAGGTAGATGTCTCTCAAATTCACCAATGTTTAAGGAGGAGGATTACAAGGTATAAGCACAATCAGACTTGAAAGATTCTGTTGTTATAGCCAGGGCTTTTTTTCTCATAGAACGCCCAGAACAGAGTTCCGGCACCTTTTTTGGATGGAACCTTGTAGGGTAGGCAAGGCGGATTGTATGACGTGTGTGAGTTCTGGCACCCCCCCCCCCTTTTTTTTTTTTTTTAGAAAAAAAGCACTGGTTATAGCTAATCTCAATAAAAGTATTTTTAGCTTTCCAGTGGAAATGATTTCCTGCTCTGGTCTACCTAGCATGGCTGACAATTTGTTTTGCATATTGCTTTGAGAGTTTTATATTCAAAAGCATTAAAAATGCATATTGCTTTGAGAGTTTTATATTCAAAAGCATTAAAAATGTTAATAAAATATAATATTGTACAACTATCCAGATATAAATGCACATTTTATTACACAGTTGAGCAGATACATTGATTTAAAAATAATTATACATAAGATTTTCCGTAATATATAATATATACTGTTACTCATAAGTAGTCTTGTGTGAACTTAGAGAAGAAAGGAGTCCATGAAATCATAATCTAAAACATGAGGCTATCAGCAAAAGTCTTTGTATGTGTATTTGCTAATCTTACCTTACATTCCATGCAGTAGTGAAATCTGGGTTCAGCAACAACAAGGTACATGTGATATCTATCAACTCTAAACAGAGATAAAGAGGATTAAATATTTTATCAAAAGGCATATATACATTTATGGTGCAATTTTTTTTAGCATTATACTTAATGTGTGATACATGCTTTGTTATTTGCATAATGTTGACAAGATTTTTATCCCTTTCAAACCCTCTGAAGTTGTAGATGTGGAACATTTATCCAAAATTATGCACCAATTATTCTGTATCAGAACATCTGAAATGGCTAATGATACTGGGAGTTACAGTTCAGCAATATTTGGGGGATTAAAGGTTCTACATTCTGACTGTAAGCAGAAGCATCAGACACTATGTTAGCAATACAATAAATGATGCAATTAATGAATCAGTTTCACATGAAAAAGGCCCAAAGTCCATCAAAATCACATTAAAAGGAAAGAAGGAAAATATTCTTTTTCAGTTGAAACTTAAAAGCTTCCCCACCATGCAAACAGCTTTTCTTGTATTATAGAACTCAATGCCTTTGGGATGCAGGTGCACTATGAAAACAGCAAACTAAAAGATGAACTTAAAAAGAAAGAAATGAACGAAAAGGGAGAAAAAGAAATATGGCACTGCATGGAGACTTTTGGAAACGGTAACAGAGAGAGCAGGATGTACAGAACAGATGAAGGAAGAATGCTGGCAGTATAGAAAATGACAAAAGAAAACAAACAAATACAATGCAGTCTAGAGGTTACCCGTTATGGAAAAATACAGGGCATGTTATGGAATGCAATGGTTAAAAACAAGAGACAATTGTGTTTAAAAAAGAAAGGTTTTACTTTATAATGGAAAAATCTACTATTCTACAGGTAGCACTTTTAATGCTGCCCTCTTGAGTTAAAAAAATGTAAAAAATGACCTGAGAAATTTCAAATATAACTATGACTTCATTACAATTTGAAATTGCATGAGAACCAGTATGAAAATAACCTCCTATAGTGTGAACTGAAATTGTGGCAGATGATTTCAAAGAAATGATGTTTCTTATCAGAAAATATCCAGCAAAAGGAAATTTACATAAAACAAATACATTTCTACAGACAATTCTTCCGTAAAACATTTCTATTTCATTTCATCTTCTCAATAGTTAGTCAGTCAGGTTTCTAAGCATAGTCTTCACTGGTCTATTTATGGTTTACTGTTATTTTTTTTTAAAGTTAGATGATGTGTACATGCAGTCATGCAAGGTTTGAGCAAAACTACAGGGAGTCTTTATGATTTTAATTTAGATTTTTATTATAAATGTCAGCAAGCAATTTATAGTACTGGGAGAAGTATAGCATCAATTCTGTTTTTACTATATTAATGCATGCAATTTGTACAATGATTATTTGGTGCAACAAGTACATATGTCAATATAAATATACAGAGTGCGCCAAAAGCCAGGGCCCATAGACAGAGTTCTCCAACCTTTTGGCTTTGTGGACTGGGGGGGAGGGGAGATGGTCCCCCTATGTGATGGGCAAGCACATGTAATCCCATTTGTGTGACCACCAGGCACGTGTATCTGCCACTCACGCAAATGGAGTGCATGTTCATGAGGTTGCTCCACTGCTCATGCAAGTGGCGATACACACACACAGCCACCCACCACTTCCGTGGTCTGGTTCAAAAAGGCTCAAGGCCCGGTAGTGGGCCGCTGCCTTGAGGTTGAGGACCCCTGGCAGAGAATTTAAAGTATAAATTATATTAAATGTTTGAATTGGTTACCATTTTCTTTTAAATAGTTCCTTACTCATTTGATGCGTGACCTTTGTACATTCCTAAGTACAGTAACAATTTCTCTGAAAAAATATTAATAAAATATATTTTGATTGGCCCATGAAGCCTGTTGTTTGATACACCCTGAATAGCCCAGCAATAACACCATGTTATCTTTCAATACTACAAGATGTGATAATATAACACTTTCAATTTAATCAGCACTATCAAGATAAAATGCAAAAAAGCAATAAAAATAGCGATACATCTATGTTTATAAAATGTACTAGCATTTTTATTTAAATAGATGAAAGTCAATATAAAATTAAATCTATTTAAACTTTTATTATTAAAATCAAGGCTTGAAATCAGGTCTTGGTTTCCTCAATTTGCATTAAAGAGAAAGAAACGTTCCTTCCTCTCTGTAGCTCTGTTCCTCATTAAATTTGGGGGTGGCTCTGTGGAAGGGAGAGGGAATTTAGGAAAGAGACTATCTATCATTTGGACCATTTCTTTATTCTTTATTAGTTAAGGCTTCTACACTTGCCAACAGGGATAACAGCAACAAATTAGGCATTAAAAAGCAAGTAGTCCCTTAGACATCATCATTATCTCTTTCTTGCTGACAGTAGAAATTAAAATGAAAGATGGGAACTCAAAGGCTTGTTTTCTTTTCCTTGAAATGGTCAAGTTGCCATTTCTAAATTTTATCTTCCCTTGCTTGTAATGTGATAAAACAGTGGTTATTCTCAAATTGCCTCTATTCTCTGGGAATACTGTATTTCAACGGTAGAAAAAGACACTTGAGAGAGGGTGGCTGTTTACATAAAGCATAATGATCTTCTACTGCTATGAATGGTTCATATAAATCAGCTGAAGTTCTTCTAACAAGCACCAATTCGCTTCAAATTCCCCCACTCTCTTGGCAAGTGATCTTCCTCATCTCAAGGAGAGAAGTTTGATTAGATCCCTCTCACTATGGAGTGGCCTAGAACCCTATCATCAGTATTATCTTCTGCTCTTGAGAAATGGGTCCAATGAAGAACTGTTAAAACAAAGGACAGTTATTTTATTCTGGCTGAGTCAAAAAACGGAATATATCCAATCCATCTTGACATGAAATCCTAAAAGGAACTAAAATTCCAACAAATGTATTATTCATCTCTTAAAAAGGCTAGCCAAGTAAACAAAGCCCCTGAGAATAGGAAGACATGGATGTTCAGGCTGCCCGGGAGGTGATCTGTGATTGGATGCATATGGTGGTATCTCCTTCTCCATGAGAGGGGTGGTCCCATCAGCCATGAAGGAGGATGTAGTACAGCCTCTCAAAACACTATTGTTGGTCCCAATAATTAAGTAAAATTTCCATCCAGTCTCCAATCATCCCTTTCCAGGGAAGGTGGTGGAAAGGGTAGTTATGCACATGACCCTAGAACACTGCAACCATCAATTGCCAAATGCCCGAATTTTGATCATAGGACTGTCGGGATGTTGCAATAGTTCTAAGTGTGAAGACCGGTTGTAAAGCACTTTTTTCAGTGCCACTGTAACTTTGAATAGTCACTAAACAAATGGTTTTAAGTTTTAAGACTACCTGTAGCTAACCCACAGCAAATGCTTTGGATTCCTGTTTTGCCAATTTTCAAAGCTTTTTTTAACAGTAAAATTCTAGTTGCTTTACAAGATCATTACTGCTGTTTCTTTAGCTGCATCGCTATGTTTCCAGCAATCATGTACACAAGGTATGCTCTGGAGTACTGATGAGCTAATCATATGCTAAAAGGTCTCCGGATTATTCCACTGATTCTTTTCAGTGTACCAAAAGATTCAGCTATGTGCAATATTAATTGTGTAATCATGCTTTAGATTGCAAATTTGTTGAGAATTCAGAAAGATTCCTCTGAGGATAGCTGGGAATGATTAGGTTATTTTTACACAAGGGTATGGGTGATAAAATATATAGGAGCTGGAAAAAGCTTTTATGACAGCAATGTTTTGTACTTTATAGAGGCACTTACCTTCTTTGTTGAGCCACTGCTTTCTTAGTTTGTAGTGAAGAAGCTTGTTATGGACATAGGGCAAAAGAAATTTGACACACCAGCTTTCCACTCCAAGTTTGTTTTCAACCAGCACTATTGGGCTTCGATTGTATCTGGCTTCAGGGCAGGGGATTAATCCAATTTCATCTCTTAAAATAATAATAAAAATTAGATTAACTATATCTTCCTTTCATCAGATGTTGCCATTTTTTGCATTGACCAAACTTTTTCTATCCCACCCATAACTCTAACTTACTAACTTATTGATAAAGAAGTGCTCCAAAAGAGTTTCTCTTGCAAACTAAACAACACTGTCACACACAGAAGACTCCAACTTGCAGGTCATATTCTTTGCATGGAGAACAACTGAATCTTCAAAGACAGCAACAATATGGACCCCCCTCCCTGATACAAATGACCAAGAGGACACCGTTGAAATACATAGTGAAAAATGTTCATGGAAGATTTAAAGAATTTAAACATCACATGGAACAATACCGAAGTATTCACCAAGACCAAAAATGCAGATCCCTTGCTGTCCGATATGCTACATAGCATGAGGGGATCTAATGTTAATGCTAATGCTAACTCATGGCTCTATCCACTTCATTCTGCCTACCTAATTTGTTTTCCTTCCAATGAAGTAGCCAATTTAAAATTTTCTTCTTGTGTAATTAACAGCATTATCCTATATATGTTAATTTTACAGGACAGTTTTATGGCAAGTGTTCAGAGGATCATAAAGCTGTAATTGTATAAATATTTAATGGAAGCTCTAAAATGTTTTAAATACAGTAATAAAAAAAGCTTTACCGTGTTCTAAATATGCCTGGGAAAGAAAATTTTTCTATATTAGAAAAACAAATAAAATTATCCCTAAAATTGCATAAAATTGGCAGGTGAGAAGTAAATGCAGACTGACCAACCAACCACTAACCCATTTTATAAATCCTAGACATTTCTATTTTCAAATATTCTCACTGAATAAATAGCATTTACATCCTGATAACTTATTTCAGTGTTTTATGTAGTATTATGACAAAGCTCACTATCCAGTTCATTATCCGTGGAAATATCTCAGATTGTATGCAATTTAATTGTCATTATTTGATTCTTTTGATTACTTCATTTATTTCAATGGAAAAATGACAAGACAATTTAAACATGCCAGAATTTGCTTAGGAATAAAAAAAATCATAACCAGAGAGCAGTTATTTTTAATTTTTCTAATCTTTCAAAAAGAACCTGGAATATATAATTGCTAACTCACTTTACCCTCATATTTTTCTTAAAGAGAAAGATATTTACTGAGACTCACTCGATAAATTGGCAAAGTGGAATCTGATTTTTTATTTACTGTATATACACCCCCAAAATTGGATTTGACTTATCCAGGGATGAACTTATCTGTGAGTATGTATGGCAGATTTTTCCTTCAGCTTTTTAAAACTACCCATATAGCCTGCATACACTTAATCTGCCATCTGCAGATAAAATAACCCAAGAATTTTTAACCATACCATGAAAAATGCACCTGCTATATATAAGCCAATTATGAAAATTAAATCATACAAAAAAAATCAAAGTTGTGTTATCCAGGGCAAGCCCATTTTTCATGATATTTTGGTTAAACATTTAAATGTCAGCTTATCCACAAGAATATATGGTATTTATTATTTCAGTGTTGTATATAGCTGCCCTTCTCAACTATGTGAATTTGAGCAGCTCACAGCAATTAAAAAACAGCTTAAAGGCAAAATGCAACCCCCCCCAAGTATAAAAACAATGTTAAAAAAACATACAACACAACCCATAGCTGAGATATATAAAAACCTATCAATAATGAACACAAACACTATTCAGGCTCTACCACAAATTCAGGTTCTAATGCCTGATGGCAAAACCAAGTTTTAAAATGACCAAAAGAGAGATATCCAAAACATAAAAAAAAAAAAAAACCACACACTACACCATCTCATGCCTTTTTAATTTCTTTGGTATGTTATTTCTTATTCGTGTTTCTCTTCTCTGCATAACATAACATATTCCGATTGGGAACACTATGATGTATGGATGCTTCAAAAGTTCAATACACATGACTTCCTGTTCCGGTTCGCGGTGACTCCGGTCGTGTCTGAAGACTCGTCTCCACACTGGCTGGCTTTTCTTCGCCGGTAGACCCCTTAGTGGGTCGAAAGTCGCCCTGGAGGGGCGACCACTGAGGAGGAGGCTTGCTGGTGACTGTGGGAGGGCGGCAGCTTTTCTCGTGGCTCCAGCTATCTCCTTAGGGCTGACGGAGCAAAAGATTGTCCTGTAAGATGGCCGATTACTCTGCTGCACCAGACGAAAGTCACAGCCACATCTAAGCGTGATAGACCCATCGGTTCTATCCGGGTGAGACCCCTTCTGCTCCTCTCTTCACCCTATTCTGTTTTTTTTTTTTTTTGCCTGTAAAAGCTTTGTTGGAATTATTTTCCTGTCTTGAAAAAGCAGCTTTTGTATGCGTGGGAAGAAAGGCGCTGAACAAAAGGATAGAACAAAAATTTTTAAAGTCTACACTTTATTCTTATTTATTTTGGGGTACAGAAAAACTCTTTTCTAAGAGCTGTACTATTATTTTACACTGGAAGATTATTTCTTTTTCCACCTTTTCCTTTAAACGATAGAAAAAAAGGAAAAAAATGGTGGCTGGAAAAGATTTTTTAATTTACTGCGGACATCTAGTGGCGAAAAGTTAATATTGCAACTGCTGGTTATTGTTTGGAGATGAGATGGACTTGACCTTCAAACTACTCTTGAAGAGGAAAGATAAGCTGATGCAGCTGTGGGAATTGTGGGGGTGGATATTGCTTAACTTTTATTAAATACAGCCTCCACTAAAAGAAAAAAGGGTCTCTCTTCAATTACTATTAAAATGGAGAAACCTTATCCACAATTAAACTGTAAACTTATATTGGAAAAGATTTATGAGGCTACTGAAGAAATATGTGCTACAGTGAAAGAGATTACTACAGAATTAAGAGCCAGAAGCCTTACTCCAAACCTTCAAACTGACTTGCAGACTACATCTGACCATTCTATAAATCAAAACATACCAGAAGAGGAATCAATTGAGATTAAAGAGGAATTTATTTTACCTTATAAGCATTTCAGCTATATTTTCGAGGATCAGAAAAATCGAAGTCTGAGATTTGAACTTTTAAAGCAACGAGGCTTTAAGGATAAAAGAAATAGACGCCCAATGCAGAGGATGGGATGCTTTTTACTGTCTCAAATGACACTACAAGCAACAAAGAGAGACCTATCGGCTGAAAGGGAAGCTTTGTTATAGAAACCTGCTTGGCACAAAAAAAAGGCCAGAATAAGACTGAAAAGAGAAAGTTAAAATTATATGTAATGGATCAAAGGCACTGTAGAATTATGAACTGATTTAAGAATTAAGATTTAGAGTTAGAAGAGAAAAATGGGTGATTATTAGAATATATATCTTAAATAGATTAAGAATGTATTTTTTGGAATAATAGGTTTATTATTATAGTATGTTAATTTAGTAAGATGATGTTTTTGTCTGATAATATGGATGTTATTAGATATGATAATTGGATGAAATTTGAATCTTGTCCAATGGACTGAAATGATTTAAGGTTTCTTGTTATCTTAAAGAGATTGATTGATGGATGGATTAGATATGTATAGGATAGACTAATATTTTAATTAGGAGATATATTGTGTAGTGGAAGAAGAAATAAACGAGACTTGTGATAAAATTAAGGATTTAAGAGATCAAGAATTAGAATATATCTGGAAGGGATACCCGAACTGATAACGTGTTTATTTAAAGCTAAATTTGATTATGGTAATTGTAAATTTACAAAGCTCTAAAACAGGTTTAGGATTTATAGAAATTTAAATTAGAAATGGATTATCTTAAATATATTATGCTATTTGAGGGAAATAGAGAAGGAATATTTGATGTATTGATTTGAGTTATTCATATATGGTTTTATTTTTGGATGTTTGATTACCCCAGCACCACGGTGTGTCTTGAGCACTTTGTTCTAAGAATTAAAAAACCAATAAAATTTGTTTTTTTTTTAAAAAAGTTCAATACACACATACATACGCTACACAATAATGCTTCGCTTTTTCCACACAATAAAGCTTATTTAGCTTTCTTAACACAAGTAATCACAAAAGAAATTAACAAACATCTAAGGCAGTGCTTGAATAGAAAAAGGTAAATATTTTCCAATGCTTCATGCACTGGAAACATTTTTTTTTCTGACTAGAAACTTTACTGGATATATTTTATTTAAATGCATTTACTTAATTATTGTTTATAGAATAATTATAGAAGAGGCAATAACAAACCAGTTCTTTATTATACTACATAAAACTATATTGATATGGTTGAAACTAGTGGGTACTCAGACTTAGAATATAAGTTCAATGTCTCATATGAAAGAGAACCTGAAAAGCTATATGAAAAGTAGAAGACACTAAAAACTGAAGCAAGAAAAACTCCCAAATTGTAAACATGATCAGATAGAGAATGAAAGTTTTGGCCAGTAAGACTATCTAATTAATGATTGAAGACAGATTTTCAGCATCAAATGGGAAGGGATTAAATCAAGAATTAGAACAAAAAGTGAAAATAAAATCAAAACAGGAAACGGACAGTTAAGGTAGAGCACTCAAGACTAAACATGGGAGAGGGCCAAACAAGTTTTTTTTTTAAAAAAAATGGGAAGATTATACCAACATCCTGTACAAAAAGCACTGTAGAGTGGTAAAAACATTTGTAAAAAGAGACTATGTTCAGGAACGATCTGATGCAAAGAAAGATTGGTTAATTGAGAAGGCAAAATAATATCAGGAGATTCACTTTGATTTCACTGACTGCAGTAAGGCCTTTAATTGTCCAGATCATGCCAGAAAATGAACGTAAGGCTAATGAAAATGCCAGAACACCTTATTATTCTTCAGAAGTACAGTATAACAAACAAGATGCTACAGTACTTTAAAAAGCAAATCTGAAGAAACAGTGGTTTCACCATTTATCAGTATGAATTATTCAGGGAATGTTAGATGAATGTAAAGAACTATGGAAAAGGGCTTAGACTAGCACATTGTGAAACAAAAATGGAAATTTAAAAACCTGTGTTAATATTAAAAAGCCAAAAGTAATGTCAACTATCATGCTCAGTGAACTCACAGTTGACAGTGAAGAAGTGAAGACAATAGATGGCTTTGTTTTCTTTGTTCCAGAAGAGATAAAATTGAATAGTGTCCTGGTGAAGAAAGTAATTCTGGAGAAGAAGGCAACAGTAAATTTAGACAAGTGCATAAAGGACAAGGATATTCTTATGAAAACAAATGTTGGAATAGTTAGAATAGCAACTTATCTAGTGGTAAAAAAAAATAGCTGTGAAAACTGAAGATAAAGAACCAGAAAAAATTGATTTTTTTTCATGTTTTTCTGATTCATGATTTGGACAATACCACTACAAGTGCTGAGGACTGTACGAAGAATCAATAAAATGATCCTGGCCCATATAAGGACTCACTACTCCCACAAATGGATGATCAGAAAACAGAAAGTCACATACTTTGGGCATAACTGCAAGTAGATAATGGACTAGAATAAGGATGTCAAACTGCTGGCCTGCCGGCCAGATGCATCACCAGGAAACCGTACCCACCCCATTGCCAACAATGGAGAAAAAGCTCCGATATGTCGTGTGACGTCATATGATGTCACGAGTTTGACATGTATGGACTAGAACATCTATTATATTTGGCAACATTAAGGGATGTAAAAGAAGGAGAAGGCAAAGTATAATCAAGACAAGTGGCATCAAAGTCATTAGAACATCAGCTGAAGACCTACAAATTATTACATTGGACAAATCAAGATGGTGGTCCAATTAACTAACTTTAAGACTTGTGGACTTCAACTTCTAGAATTCCCCAGCCAGTCATGCCAAGGTTGTCTGGGGAATTGTGAGTCCTAGGAAACAGGTAATGGCAAACCACTTCCAAAAAATATTGCCAGAGACAATTTCCTCTCTAGGCAGTTGACAGAATTCAAGACCAATTCAAAAACAGCAAAAACAAGAAAAAATGATCTTTAAAATTTTGACCTGTGAACTATCACACATCAACAAGATATTTCCACTAACAATCTATTATTATTTTAAGGATATCCAAAACAAAACTCTTTGTTACCTGAATAATTTTTCACCTGGAACAAGTCAATCTGAGTGGTAATAGTAGCATTTCCAAATATGTATACTGTATTCTAAAACAGGATAATGGTCTTATTGTTATGGACACAAATCCTGTTCTGAAAGACATGTTGTCAGAAACGCATACACCACCCACAGATCTGGAACATTTTGGAACATCCTGCTCCTGGGAAAACTCTCAACTACTTCGTGCAATTCCCTCCTCTTCACCTTCATCGTAATTCCTAATTTCTTTGATTTTGTGACAGAGAAATGACCTGAGTGTGCTGAGCACATATCAAATCCTATTTAGAACAGATTACTGCAAAACTAGATCGACACAGCGATATTAAAAATAGATTCTGTGGTGACTATTAACCTATGGAGCATCCCTGGAGATAACTTAAGAAACAAGATGATTCTTTGGAATGTAGCTGAGAACACGCTGCTCAGATGAAGAGCTTGGAATGGAAAGTTTACCATCCAACTCTGAAAATTAAAAAGCACGTTAATCTTCCCTCGCTACTGCGTGGACACGCAAACTTTCAAAGTTAGCCAGTACCAAATTCACCAGTTCCCCATGTTCAGTTTTCCTCTCTGGCAAACCTGACGTCTCATCGCCGTTCAAAATGCAAGCCCGGGTCATAATGCAAGCCCTTGTCTAAACAAATGCAAAGCCACGAGTTCCATTCCGTAAACGGATCGGATCCCCGGAACTTTAGCTCGTCCCCCCCTCCAGCCTTATACTTTGAAGTTACTCTCTCGTCCAGCGGCAGAAGTTCGACTCGGCTCCCTCACCCGCTGCCTCTCGAAAAGAGAGAAAATCAAGAGAGGACCGGGGGGGGGGGGTAGGGTGTTTACCGGCCTCGTCTCCTTGTTACTATTGAGACAACTCAACCAAGCCCCGCAAGCCCTCCCGTCGAGGAAAGGCAAGGGGTCTCTCGGCGGCGCCGCGTCCACAAGGCGAAGCAAAGCGAAAAAGGGACCCGCGGACGAGACGGCGGCGTCCCGCGTTTCTTTGGCGCGCGCGCGCTCTCCTTCACTCACATGTCCGGGTTGCGCTTGAAGGCGCTGTTGATGTCCTTCACCACCCGCTGCACCAGCACGGCCACCTCTTCCGGGGACTCAGCCATCTTCGGGCTGCTGCCACCGTAGCTGACGACCGGTAGCAGCGCCGCCGCTGCTGTCGCCGTCCCGCATAGGAAGGCCGAGGAAAGCAAAGCGCATCCGGGTCAGAGGCCTCCGCAAGGCGGAGCGCGGAGCTCGGCGAAGTGAGTAAACCGACGAGGAGGGACCGCCTCCTCCTTTCGCCTGACCCGGTCGCCGTGGAGCCTGGACAAACAAGAGGGGAAATGTGGGGGAAAGGGAGCTCTGAAAGATCGATTGCTGGCTCTCAAGCAGGGGAACGATTCCGCCCGACGCCTCGCTTTTCTTCCGCGCTCCGCTATACTTTTTCCACAAGTTTGTTTGTGGGTGGGAAATCTCTCAATATTTTCAGTTAATTATTCGTGTATTAAAAGTCATGAATTGCAGTTTTATCAAGTATAAAACGATATAATTATACAGTTCTGACGCTACCCGTCCTCAGCGTTTCTAGGGTCTTAGCGCCTTTAAAAAAAAATAAATTGAACGAATATGGATGGAATTGGACTACAGTCATTAAGAAGTGAATCCTATTCAGTTTCACTCAGTAGTTCGTATCAGTGCTTAAAGTATTTACTTGGCAACAAATCCCGCTGAGGCTTACTTTCAGATCAGTATGCAAGGAAATGGTGGCGTCTTTCCTTTTTACTAAGCAGGGACAAAACTATTGAGACGCAAGTGTCGTTTAAGCTGCAGTCTTAGAGATAATATCCACTGAAAATAAAGTCTGCAAGAGAAAAAGTAAAAAGTTGGCTCCATGAAATCGAAATAAAGTCTGGTTGATTTCATATTAGTTTTTTTTATTGTATCTATGTGAAATTTCCACCAAGTAACAACCCTGAATATGGATTGAAGTAGATCTGTCATCCAGCAATTTTTGGTGACATTATGGTACAAAAATCTTAATCATCCTGATTATTATTACCTTTGTTCACAGACTATATTATAGTAATTAAAATGTGTGTTTTGCGTCATTTACATTTAAAATTGGGCCTAAGTTTCCATATCTTTCTCTGAAACAAAGTATAAAGCAAAATCTTGGATCTGAGGTAGCATCCACTGAAATTACAACTTTTACCATTAATATAACTGCCATAAAAGTAGTGGGTCTCAAAACCATCATAAAATAAAATTATAGATTCTGGATTTTTATGAGACTCTTATGTTGCAAAGCATATCTATGTTTGTTGGATTTCTGGTAAAAAATAATAAATGTATTGTTCAATGGAATCAACATGGAACAAAAATGAAAGTACCGAATATAGGTCTTTCCAGATCCCCTGGAATTGTTCAAATAATCTCTCCTGAAGGCAACTCTACCCATAACATTCATTTTGATTCAAGAAAATTGATTTGCTCCAATGGAAAGCTTGTTATTTAAAATAGTAGATTAAAGATAAATACATGTTTTCTACATATGAAGGACGTCTTATCAGTGTGCTGGAAAATGTGATGCATATGATATGATATGGTCAAGACTTCAATTGTTCAAGACTTGAATTTTGTTGTATATAGATTTATTATAACATATTTTTGTTTTAGTTTCATTTCTTACTGCTTGTAATTTATTTTTGATTTTGGTTATATTATATAAATATTTACTATACTGCTGTGGTGCAGAGTATATCTGAGACATACTGTAAATCTTCATAAAATTGTACTCAAGATGATGCTCAAATAGCATTATATACAATAAAATTATATAATCTGTATTATGCCCTCTTGTAGTTTCATTCTAAATACTCATTGATTTCAGAATGAAAGAAACATCCTGCATTGCCCTAGTAAGAGACAAATGGCAGTTCTAAGAAATACATATTTTACACCTACACTATCACCCAAGTCCCAGCCTAGCAGAATAGAAAGCTAATTAAAATCAGAGAAAATGACTACAAATTCTGAGTACCTTTTCCAATTCCTAAAAACAGATTTTCACTTATATTATTTGACTGTTCTAATACATTAGAATGTGAAAAATAAAATGCACTACCCAATCATGACTAAAATACTAAATTCTTGATATCCCTGCTTATTGCTGACTTGGCAGCAGATGACTAGATAACATGTATACCTAACATGCATGCAGCACCAAACTGGGACTAGTAAATTCATAACAAATTCAGCATATGGCTTTCTACCAATATGTTGCCAGATACTAATCAGGACAGGTCCATAGTCATACTGCCAGAGTGATATATTTTCAGCCATTCTTGGCAACTACAGCATGGACACTGAATTTTCTCATGTGGTTCCTTAATTATAATATTACTGGTTATTCAACCAATACTATTTCAGCTTTTTTGTTATAAAAAAAAACAAAATGAGAACATAAGCTAGGGCTTTTGGATAGATCCTGGATTACTACAGTAAAACATGTTCAATAGATTATGGATTAGCATGTCATGTGAGCACGTCTAAGTCCGCAAAGACCCTCTATTCACAGTAGGTGATTTACTCTATTTGTAGAGTAGCAAGAAATATGACAGCAATTTCACTGGCACCGTCTCACTGGTCCTGTCATATTGTGAATATAGGACTGTAGGCATGGGCAATAATGGGCATGCTATGGTATGCCCATATGATACCATGGGTCCATGAGCTGCAATGCTTACCAGTCGGCTTCTGGGTGTATTCAAGGTATTTATTGACACTTACAAAGCTTTTCAGGGCACAGGGCCTGATTACCAGAGGTACTGCTAGCACTGATCATTCCTGTCTGATAAGATCCAACAGAGGGGGTCCTCTCAAACAATATAATTCTACTGGGACTTTGGGACCTGCCTTCTCTATTGCTGTTCTTTGGAATCACATCCAGAGATATTTCCAATAAGCAAGTCTACAACTGTAGAATATATAAATTCAGGCTCAATTCCTTATTTATCACTTACAGAGACTTTTCTTATCTGTGAGGCTATCATGCAAATCCTTTCCAATCTGGTAATATTGTGTTTTTCTTTAGTGATTCTTTTTCATAGGAAACCAATGCAAATCATCTACTATATATGCAATGGCAGAAGAATTATTTCTGGAGCTGCCGAGCATAAAAAAGAAACTAGTGCCTGCCCAGGGACTGTTGGGCCTCAGCTTCTTTTTCCTTTTATGAAAATTAAGTTTTTTCCCTTTAAGAGAACAACTTATGTATGCACATTCAGTATGAACTTTGCTTGCCAAGAAATATTACTACCACAGTGGTGGTTAGCTTCTAAAAATAAGGCTGCAAAAGTTTAAGTAGCCATCAGTGGGCAGAAAATTGATACAGAAAATCTTATGATTGCTTCCCTGCTTCCTCCAGATTTGTGCAGCCCAGATTTGGGAGCCCTAAATTTTAAAACTGAGTTTGCCTTTTGGGCAAAACAGAATTCCAATGTTTTTCATTCAAAAAAAAATTAAGCACTGCCAAATGCATACTTTGATTTATTGACAGAAGAAAGGGTTGAATTCAACATGACTCTGCCCATGAAATGACTCGGAAACAATATATATATTTTCACAATTCCAGCCCAATAAGGCTTGATGGCAAGCTTGGCATAATATCTCACATTTTGTATATTTCCATAGTATTACATTGTGGGAATTATTTGTTGCTTTCCCCTTGCCTTACAATGAACAGTAGTTCCGGCCTCTTGGCGGAATGATTTTGAGATTAGTTATTTTCCTCTATAGCATCAGTGGTCACCATGGAGACTAATGTGTCCAGCAAAGAATGAAAGCTGCAAAGTCTTGCTTGCTTGCTGCTCATTTCTTTTGTTGGCCAATGAAAGCTTGGAACTTTGAGAAATAATACAGAGGGAGTGAAGTATTGGTCTCAAGATTAATTTCTTACTTATAATACCCTGATCTTGAATGAATGTGAATATTCTGCTGTGAATTGCCCTGCAGTTGGAGAAATAATACTGAATTAATTTCAGATATAGTGGTCCTATAGAAGTGGTGAAAATCCAAAATCATTTGAAGATGGAATTAGGGCCTCCAGATGTGATGGAACGCAAAGGAGCATTGACCTTGCGCTCCAATTCAGCATATTATGGGAGACCCACTCTTGTGTATGGCTGGTAAGAAAAAAATATTGTTCACCGGTCTGATGTGGTTTAATACTGTTCTCTCTTTTTGAAAAAACCCCACCAGATATGACTAAGCCACAAAGTGTCATTCATTCTGGCTCTTTTCAATATAAAGCTTAGCAGTTCAGTTAGTAGTAATATTTGAAGTTGGTTTTCTTTTTCCAATTTTTGTGTTTGTTTTTGATTTCAGATTTATCTGAAGACTTTTGACACTTTTTGAGAAGTGCTCTGATATGGGACTTTGCTTAAAATAAAAATGTAATCGGCTTTGCACATATACATGTTTGGGTTTGACTTGTATATTATGTCAATAGTAATATAGATATTAGTAACTTTTAAGATACGCCTTGGTATTACTATTTATGATTTCTTATAATTTAAAGGTTCCAGAACAGGGAGGCTGAACCTAAGGATTATGATATAAATGAAATTAGTTTGGGTTCTAAGAACTTATGTCAGTCTACCTACTGGAGATTTGGAACCATGGATCAAGTAAGATAGCTTATTGTTGACAGCATGTTTGTTTGATATGTTGATGTATCATATTCATATTTATTTATTTTTTATACATATATTACCACAAAGCATAGCCATTCATAGAATACATCTGTGTATTGTTATTAAGTTAATCAATATTGTGTAAATCTTTTAGAGGACTCAAGAAGGATATTAAAATCACTATATTAATTTCATCCAGCACCAATGCTTTCAAGAATAATCCCAAACTTGGATTGTGCAGTTTAATTGATGTTTTATTATAATTTAGTTGCAATGTTTATTTTCAACCATGAAAGGGAGCTCTAGGATGCTTTATTTATAAATAGAAAATAATCAACTCATCCTTAATTAATTCACTAGCCAAAAATTGATGTTATAATAATAAGAATAGAATATATATTTTCATTATATGCACCAATCGATTAAAAAATATTGATTGGGGTGGAAATGCATAAATTGTAAGAGTAAAGCTATATCTCCAGGATCCCAACAGATGTTGTGTTGGTTATTTTTGTGCTGCGTTGGAACTATGTAATCATTCCTTGTTCTAACATTTACTTTTAGAAATGGATAACAACATATCAAGATCATCTGTCATCTCCCTGTAGCAAAAAAGAATATAAACAACTAGAGATTTGGAAACCTTTGCTGGACGAAGATGGCTTTCACACAATTGTTGTTGACAGGTATTTCTGATATTTTTGCATCGATAATAATTTAAATAATATTGACTATCATATAAAATGTATCATGAATATCTTTTTGTCCCCTTATTTCTTTCTACCTTGTATTTGTTTTTAAAAACATTGGGAGCAATTAATCCTTTATTTCAGGAATTACTCCATCTAATCTTTGATATATTTTACAGTTCATTAATGTTCACAAAGCATTAAATAAAAAGAGAAAACAGAAACTGATTTTAAACATAATATTTATCTGAAAACTACAAAGTTAATGTAATGATTTTTTTTTATGTTTAAAGAGTTTGACACAATTCAGGGCAGGGCAGCAATGCAATGTAGAGCAAAGAAACAAACAAACAAAAAATCACATGATTTATATAAATGACATACTAAGGTTGTAGTCCCCTACACCTTTTTCTTTGTAAAGTCCATTGAACTGATTTTAACTTAAGACTGCCTGCCCATTCGCCCATCCAGCATTGCCAATTGGATCTAAAATAAAGCTTGCATTTTCTTTTAATTTTTCTTTCAATCTGAAAGTTGTCTCTCTTTGTTTCCTCCTCAGGGATACAGGGCTACCTGAAACAGGTTTTGGTGCTGTGTTACCACGTCACCCACTTGAGAAGTTTAAAATGTTTGTATATACATATATGCTAATTATTTTAGTTTTACTATGAAGTTCAGATTTTGTTGTGCCTTCATGTTGATGCTTATTGAGACCTGTAACATGATCAAAGTTCCTATATTTGTACCTCATAACATTATCTCGATACTTAAAAGTATCTGATAATTTTATTCTTGGCATTACCAGAACATTTAAACCTCCATTTCAGTTATTTCAGTGTTTCTCTTTTGTACTAGAAATCTAATAATTTATCAGTTTATTTTCATTTAAATGAATGAAACTGGTTTCTTATGATTTCTAATTGACCTCTTTGTCCTCAATACAATACCCTAACAATTTCACAGACCTTTGAAAATTCTGTCCTTAGGGAGTTCTGCCTACGACAGGGATTTGTACTCCATAATCATCATGCTGTAAACTCAAGTTTCCTATGCCTCTGGTTGAACTTACTTGCAAATACATTCACTGTTTTGGAGAAAGTTGGGAAGAAATGGAAAAACAGATTGGAAATAAAGATAAAATTCTTTGATTTTTCCCACAGCTTTCTGGGGAGGTTTCCATGTGCTGGGCTGCTTGCTTGCAACTCCTCCACCTAGCAAAAACCACTACTGGGATGTTTGGCTTTTTAAACAAGAGCAGTCTCCAGTTTGCAGCTGATAAAGTTGCGGGAATGCCGAAGGCACTTTCTTCTACAAACTCAGGGCTTCCCTTGATTTGGTCTTTTTCCTCATATTAGAAGAAACCCTTGATCCGTTCTGAGCCTGCTGTTCCAAAGAACATAGGACAGTTGATAGAAGCAGAGCTGAAA